TTTTTTGAACTCAGTACCCTGTTACACTCTTAAAAAGTATTAAGGACTTCAACATGAAAAATAAAAAATATAATGAGACCTGTGACATTGTTTTACATTTTTGCAGCTTTCTTTAATGTCTAGCTCATTAGAAGATAGCTGGATTCTCACATTTACCTCTCCATTGGGTCTGTTGCAATATGTTGTTTTGGTTTAAGTGAATGCAGACAATGCAATCTCACGTATGTCATCAGAAAAGGTATTATAATAGCCTTTTCAAATAATTGTAGATATTCTTTAATACCACACCAAAACTTGGCAAGTGGTAGCATTTAGAGAGTAATTGCAATGTGGAATCTGAAAGCCATCATTGAATGTTCCCTACTCTGCTAAATTGTAATCTGTTGGTCTGTCTTGTAGTTTCAATGAATCTCTTACCCTGTGCATTAATTGTAACAGCATGCATCTGTCACTGGAAATTATCAGCCCACTAGTTTATAACAACCTTTCAAGTGTTAATGCATTTCATTATACAATACCAAAAGTCCATTTGTTACTATTACCATTGATCTTATCAGAACAACCTTTAAGCATTGTAAAGTTGTCAAACTCACAGTAGTGGACATAAGTTTTCCAAGTTATTGCTTGAATGCTCAAAATTATTTCACTGGCAAAAATACTGTCAGTTATTTGAGGTGTCAAGCTCACTTACTTTATTTCTGAGAAAATGTCTGCCAGACACCCAAATTGTAAGTTATTGGTAGTTTTTCAGAGTGAAAACAGCACTCCATAAAAAAAAAAAAAAAAAAAAAAAAAAAAGCAGCTAGTTCAGCTTGCAATGCAAGAAATTACGTTTCCTTGAAATAACTATAACCATCATACTTTAGTATGTAGCATTTCTGCTAAGAGTTCCAAAAGGAGGGGCAAAGTTTGTGGACCACCTTTGAGAACTTTTCTAAGCTCTTTTTCAGGACTTGGAGACCCTAAACTTTCTCTTTTTTATATACTCACTCCTCCCCCCCCTTTTAAAAATAACTCACACCCCTCTATAAAAATAGTAATTATTTATCCAGCTATCCTTCAGGCTATTTTTCTTTTTCCCTTCTGCCAAACTTGTTTAGCAAATATAGTCATCTGTCAGTATCCAAGGGGGATTGGTGTCAGGACCCCACAGATACCAAAATCCATAGATGCTCAAGTCCCTGATTTAAAATGATGTAGTATTTGCATATAACCTATATACATCCTTTATCTCTAGATTCATCTCTAGATTCCTTATATTACCTAATACAATGTGAATTCTGTATAAATTATACAGTATATGTTATACTGTATTGTTTGGGGAATAATAACAATTAAAAAAAACAGTCTATACATGTTCAGTTCAGACCCAAGCATCCTATTCTTCCCCCCTAAATATTTTGCAGTTGGCTCAATCCGTGGATGCAGAACACGCAGATATGGAGTGCTGACTATAATTCACTTCTACTATTTTTCTTTCTAATCTAAATTACACTTCAACCCTTTAAAATTTGGCTGCTCTCCTCAGCACTTTAGATTTATTTTTTTAGTATTCTCAGTGACATGCTTAATTCAGTATTTTGATTTGTCTTTACTCAGCAGCATTTGTAATAGTTGATTCCTCCTTGCTCTGAGTTTTCCCTTGTAAGACCTCAGTTAATATATTTTTCTCTTTTCTAATCTTTGTCGGTCTCCTTTACTCACTTTTTAATGCTCCAAACTATTATTTTGTTGTGCATACTCTCATTCAATTTAAATAACATTTAAAAAAAGATACAGATTGCTATCTCGAATCCTAACTCCTTCCTAGAGCTCCAGACCCATATCTGTCTTTTCTTCTAAATGTTACTAAATGGTTATCTCACATTTTCGAAACTGAACTTGGCATTCCTAGAAACAAATACACGCATTATCTTCCTTGCCAAAACCTCAACAAGCATTGATTGAGCAACAGCTATGCAACATACTGTGGGAAAACAGTGGACAATAAAACAGGCAAAATACCTGTGAGGCAAGGCAGACAGTAAACAAGTAAACAAACAATAGTTACAGATTATGATAAGTACTGGTTGTGCTGGACGATGAGAGATTACTTAGATAGGTTTGTCAGGAAATGTCTCTCTGAAGAGCTAGCACCCAACCTGAGTCTTGAAGAATAAAGCTATTTGAAGAGAGTAGGGAAAAGTGCATTTTATGTAGAGAGAACAGCAAACATCCAGACCCCAGGTAAAGTCCTTGGGATGTTCTGAGGACCTAAAGTCACTGTAGATCCTCCTGCATACTTATGATGATAAGTAAGATCATGATGTTAAGTGAGAGTGAACTGGAGTCAGCTGGAATGATAGGTCATACAAGTGTGTCTTTTGGGCGTTTGGGTTCAATTCTAATACCAGTGAGAAACCGTTGAAATGCTTTGAGAAAGGCTTGACAGAATCTGATTTACATTTCTAAAATATTCTTCTGACAACTCTATGGTGAATTGAGGACATTGAGGAGGAGGGAGGGAGGAAGGAATGGGGAGATCTGGTCGAAAACTCTTAACACTATTCCAGGTGAGAGATGATGGTGGTTTGAATTATAAAATAAGGTGGACTAGAAATGGGATACAAATGAACATGTTCAAGATGCTTTGGAGTCTTGAACCAAGAAGACCTTAACTTAGAATGGGTGAAACCTAAAAGATAAGTTAGAGTTTTTCAGAGAAAGTGTTAGCAGGTGTTTCAAGCAGAAGAAGCATCATGTACAAAGGGTAAGAAACCAGAGAGAATGGAATCTTTAAGGACTCAAAGAAGCTTAGCATACCTGGTTAAAGAGGGAGAATGGCAAAGGATAAAGCAGGAAATAAAGGCAGAAGCCAGATTATACAGGAGTGTGTTAAGGAATTTAGACTGTGTCTGAAATTCTAATCCGGGCTATATTTGGGAATTCCCTAGTTATAGCCAGTAATGGGAATTATGGAGTAGATGAGATCACCAAGGAAGAATGTATGGAGTGAAAATGTATAGCGCATATGTCCTAAAGCCAAGACCCAGGGAACATCAGCATTTAAAAGGATTTGATCAAGAATGAGAAGAACTAGAAAAGGAAAACTTGGAACCAAAAGCGAAGGAGCAAAGGTTTTTCAGAAGTTTGTGGTCAGCATTTCAGATTATTTTGGGGGAGGGTAAATAAGATAAGACTTGGGAAATAGCCTGTGCTGGGCAGTGATGAACTTGGGTGAGAATGAGTTTGGTGCAGTCATAGGTTGAAAATCAGATTATTGTGGGTTGAGTAAATTGTGAGGGAAGAAAATCAAGACAAGACATATAGATGACTGGGTGGACTTTGAGAGGGCAGGAGTGATGGAGTGCAGGTTGGAGTTTTTGGTGAAATCTTCAGGGTTTTTTTTTTTTGCTTGTTTTTAAATGTGTGAGATACATGTTTAAATGTTTGTGAGAGATTGAAGGTAAGGAGAGAGGAGGTAGATGGAATGGGATCATCTGTCTACAGTCCTGTTATCTCAGTTGGTATCACCTCATGTCTCAAACTGGAAACTTAAAAGACAGCTCTCATTTCTTCTGTACCAAGCTTTTGCCCCACTTACACATATTAATCAAATCTTAATTTGACCTCAGAAATACCATTTCATGTAGTTTCTCTTCTACACTAATGTTGTTTTTATTAGGTCAGCAGCATCCCTGTGGGACTGCTGAAACAATCTCTTTCCCATTCCGGCCCTTTGAAAAAGGAGGGAAAAATCCTGATGTGATCATGTCATTGTTTTACTGAAAGATCTTTGCTGGTTGAGTCATGGTTCAGCCCTCTGCAATATTAACCTGTTGTCATCTTTCCTGCCTCTGGTTTGCCAACCCCTCCATCTTACCCCTGTAATACCCTTTAGCTACATTAACCTTCTTTTGGTCCATAAACTTTCCCTCCTTTTACAAAATCTTTTTCCTTTAAAAAAATATTTTCTGTACCTGAATTTCATTCGCCAACCTTTGCTTCTAATTTATTCCTTTATTTTAGTAATTATCTGTTTGTATGTTTGTCTTCACCTGGACTATTGGCCCCTCCGGACCAGAAACTGTTCATTTATGCATATATCCTACATGATTGATAGAACACCTGATATTCTTACTTGAACTGATTTGGCTGAATGACTGAATTGTAACAATTAATGGAATTGTATCAGTTCCCAGCACGTTGGAATTGGAAGTGATTTTTTTGAATGATAAGAACATGGAGGCCCGGGAGGTAAAATGACTTTCCCTGGGTTGTGCAACTGGTAACTGGCTTCTCCCGACTTCTGGCCCAGGGTCCTCTGAAGAACTTCCACCAGCTGCTGTCAGTCAGTGCAGGTTGGGTAATATCTAAGGAGCCAGCTGAGGTGACTCAGGCCTTTAACACAACTCTGAGAGGCTGAGTCAGGAGGACCACTTGAGCCCAGGAGTTCCAGGCTACAAAGGGCTATGATCGCACCACTGCCCTCCAGTGTAGGTGACAAAGTGAGACCCTGGCTGCAAATAAATTAATAAATAAAATTCACTAATTAAACTAATGCCAATATGGGTACATTTGCTGTCTGTGATGCCATTAATTTTTAGTTTATAGAATGTGACTTAAACATTGAAATGATAAAACGATACTATATGGAAAGAGTTCCAAGAATTGATTGAATTCAGTAGACTATCCAGTCTTCCTTAGAGCAGATAAGATTAGTTAAATGTCAGATTTAGTGTCCCTGCACTAAAACTCACACCTTATCCACCTGAAGGGGTCCCTGATGCAAATTTGTACGTGCGAGTGTGTACACTTCTGTTCACTTGGGAGGGGGAACAAAGATTCCATAGCTTTTTTTCAAAAGATTCCTTGATCCCCCAAAAGTTAACCACTGCACCCGATGGCCTATATTTTGCTGTTATGATAAGTAATAATTTTCAAAGCAGAATACATGAAAAGTTTTTTTAGCTGCTACTTGAATTATATTTTTAATCTTTGCTACTTGCTTTCATTTTTAGGGTTTGTGTTTAGTGAATCAGAGGGATCTGCATTAGAACAGTTTGAAGGTGGCCCCTGTGCTGTTATTGCACCTGTTCAGGTAACATAGACTCCTTTACCAACTCCTTAGAGGAACGTATTTAAACGTTTCATACCTTTTGCTTTCTAGTCTGTACTCTGTATAATTGTGAGGCATGATCAATTAACTCTTAACTTTTGCTCATATAAATTGCTTTAAATATCCAAAATAGAAATGAATTCAGAACTTTGGCGAGTTGCACAACAGTAGCCTTTTGATTATCTTATTTTTAAGGAAAAATAGTAAGTGTTTCCTGACTTTCAGAAAATTAAGAATTACTGATCTTAACGTCTTCTCTATTAAAGGATCCAATTAAATAATAACATTTTCTACTCTAGATAGATAGAATCATGATAATGGTACCTTTAATATTTGTTGTGTCAGCCAGGCTCGGTGGCTCAGCCTGTAATCCCGCGCCTTTGGGAGGTGAGGTGAGTGAATTGCCTGAGCCTGCAGGTTCGAGACCCGCCTAGGCGGCGAGACCTCATCTCTACAATAAATCAAAAAATCAGCCAGGCGTGGTAGCGCATGCTTGTAATTCCGGCTACTTGGAAGGCTGAGGCGGAAGGATCGCCGGAGCCCAGCAGGTCGAGGCTGCAGTGGCTGGGAGCGGCCACTGCACTCCAGTCTGGGCAACAGAGTGAGACTCCAAAAAAATAAAAAAATTTGTTGTGTCTATAAAAATGATTTTCCTAAAAAGTTGATGATAAGTTAATATTTTTATGGCCTAAAACTTTTTAAATTTTAAAAGTAAGTTGGTAGTGTATACTATTTTAGGTGATGTCTTTGGCCTTTCTAGATAAAATTAGTAGCAATGGATTTCAAACAATTTAAAATATCAGAAAAGGTTTTTTATTTGTACAAAAGATAGAATTTATCTGAATGTCTTTATTTGATTTGCAATCTTGAGGTATTACATTATTTGAATTTAAAAGACTGATTTGCTATAACTGTTACATTGTTAAAACCGATAATTGAATTTTCAGTTTATTGTAATGCTAACAATATCTGTGAATGGCAGTGTAACTTTAGAACTGTTATAAAAGAAGCTGCAATTTATTGTTTATGTTGTAATCATCATGTTTTGAAAATACATATTTAATATGATATCTGTTATTTATTAGGCATAAAGAATGCATTTGAATATTAGCTACAAAGTAAACTTGCTCCAAACTTATACTTCATATATGTACATTATTAAATTAAAAATACATTTCTCTAAAGGAAAAAAATCTCCTTTTATAGTTGATTCCAAAATATTTTCCATATATGGCATTATTTTATTTTTTGAAAGAGTAAAGTTGGCTGGGCTCGGTGGCTCAGCCTGTAATCCCGCGCCTTGGGAGGCTGAGGTGAGTGGATTGCCTGAGCCTGTGGGTTCGAGACCCACCTGGGCTACTTGACGAGACCTCATCTCTGCAATAAATCAAAAATTAGCCGGGTGTGGTAGCATGCGCCTGTAGTTCCAGCTACTTGGAAGGCTGAGGCGAAAGGATTGCCAGAGCCCAGCAGGTCGAGGCTGCAGTGGCTGGGAGCGGCCACTGCACTCCAGTCTGGGCGACAGAATGAGACTCCAACTCAAAAAAAAAAAAAAAAAGAAGAGTAAAGTTGATTTTTTTTGCATTAGTAGAACTTCTGTTAATTGAGAAAATTTGGATGTATGAGCCTCGCTTCAGAGTTAATATAATATAAAGAATGAAATTTAACTTTAAATTAGTACAGCTGTTGTACTGAGTAATGGGGCAAATTTAGGTTACTAGTAAGATTCTTATCCTAATTTGAATATTCTTTATTCCATCCCTGTGTAAATTGATTATATAAACATTTTCCTTTTGGTCAGTAATAGCAGAATTTTTATTGAAAATCATGAATGTAGTTACACGTAAGGTATACTATAGGAGTTTTATATATGCTGTATATAGAATGCAGTATATTCCAAAAATGGTAGTTACTTTTACTGGTGGGATAAGAAGAAATAATTGTAATGTTCAAAATTTTGGACCTAAGTTTATATAATTTTGAGGTGGTAATTTAGTTTAAGAATCACATAAATCTTTTTAAGCAATAATTTTGTTTATAATAATATTTCATATTAAAGTCAAAACTAAGTCATTGAGATAAATGGGCAAGTTCAGATTTTAAAAACTTGTTAAACTCTAAAAATTAGATGATGATGCTGAGCTAGAAGCATAGGCATAATGATGGAACCAAATAGATAGTAAAGTCGTAGACCTTATTGCATATAAAAATGTGTCAATAATTCATCACATAGCATGATAATGAAGGAACTAAGATCAGTGGTAAAATAAAGTGACATTTCATAAATGCCATCTATGTGACTGGTTAGCACTTTGAGGGGAAAATAAGTTTAGATCATTTCATACCATGTGTCAAATGTATTCTTTAAATAACATTTAGCCACAGAAAATTAAAAATTAATGTGTTATCAACAATCTAAGAGAAAGGATGACTTCCAAACTTGGAAATATTTGCAGTGAATCTTAACAGTAAAGGACATTGTCTTTCTTATACAAAGAACTTCTACAAGTTGGTTAGGAAAACACCAAGGGGTGAAATGAGCATACAGTTGTGGAATGACGTATACAGCAGAAGAACCAAGAGGCTCAAACTCACTAGGAATCCAGGAAAGTAAAAGTAAAATTGTAACTAGATTCCGTTTCTTATCTTTTTCTCATCTGTAAATATAAAATTATAATTATCAGCGCATGTGAGGGTTGGATGATGCTGGCACACTCATATAAGGCTATTTAGTTCAAATTTGTACTTTGATTTTGGGAAGAAATTTTACATTATAATTGGAACCATATTAATGTAGACTCTTTGATGTAAGAGTTGTACTTCTGTGAATCTTTCCTAAAGAAATAATATTTACTATGGAAAAAGTTGTATTTAAGAAGAAGCTCACATTTAAAACAGCAAAAAAAAGTAACCAGTTCAATGTACAATAATGTAAATGTGAAATGATAGTTAAGTAAGTTTTGATAAATAGCTTGGTATACAAGTAGCGATTAAGAGTTAGTAGTTATGGCCAGGTGCGGTGACTCATTCCTGTAATCCCAGCACTTTGGGAGACTGAGGTGGCAGAATTACTTGAAACCAGAAGTTCAGGACCAGTCTGGACAACATAGTGAGACCCTGTCTCTATAAAAATAAAAAATTAGCTGGATGGCAATGCACAGTTGTAGTTGCAGCTACAAGGGAAGCTAAGGCAGGAGGATCCCTTAAACCCAGGAAGTAGAGGCTGCAGTGAGCCAAGATCACACCACTGCATGGCAGCCAGAGCAACAGAGCAAGCCTCTGTCTCTTAAAAAAAAAGAAAGAAAAGAAAAAAGTTATAATTATGAATTCCGTGGGAAAATGGAAAATATAAGCATATACCCATTATGATTTTCACTTGTAATTAAAAATAGGTGTGAAAAAAAAGATTGGCAGGAAGTATATCAAAATGCTAACAGCAAGGCCAGGCATGGTGACTCAAGCCTGTAATCCCAGCACTTTGGGAGGCCAAGACTAGAGGATTGCCTAAGCCCGGGGGTTTGAGACCAGTCTGGGCAACATGGTGAGACCTTGTCTCTACAATAAATCAAAAATATTAGCCAGTCGTGTTAGCGTACATCTGTAGTTCCGGCTACTTGGAAGGCTGAGGCGGAAGGATCGCCAGAACCCAGCAGGGCAACACTGGGGTGGCGGTGAGTGTGCCCCTGCACTCCAACCTGGGCAACAAAGCAAGACTCCAACTCAAAAAAAAGAAAAGAAAAAATGCTAACAGCAGTTGTATTAGTGGTAAAATTATGGATGTCCCCACCTCACTTCTCAAATTTTGTAATGTAGATACATTGCTCCATTTTATTGCTGCTGTCATTTGTTAAGATGCCTTGAATTGATTGCTTAGTGCCTGGTACTGTGCTAAGTGCATTACATCAGTCTTTCTCATGTAATCCTTACTGCAGTTTTTTAAAGCTTGTACTGTTATTTTTAGTTAGTAATAGTGAAACCAGAATTCAAACCTAGTCTGAATAAAAGCAGTCCTCTTACTCTGTACATTAATGCTTTTATGCACATGTGATTAAGAATCATCATAGCAACCTCTTTTTCTTGGATCTGATCTAGAGATCCAGATTCAATAAGGAGCTCAAGGATCTTATTTTAAACAGCAAGTCAGGTGACTGACTAGGATACAAATATTCTACAACACTCTGTGCAGGGAACACTACACTACACTTTAATGTAACATAGTTGACTTACTTAAGAAAATGTTTAGAAATCAGTTTTTTCTTTTGAATCATGTAGCTTTTTGAGTTAAACTAGGAAGTTAGGAGCACCTGATAATAAAGCTTTGACTCTAATAGTTTTGGGGTGGTTTTTTTTTCAGTGTCACAGGTGACAGCTAAGGGAACAGAACCACTTTTGTATTTAGATTTTTTATCCTGAAGACTAAGAAATGTAGACTTGTCACTGTTCTGTAGGGTCTTCAGTTTGTGAATGGAGTAGTAAGTTTTTGTAATTTCCAGTTATGTGTCTATTATTACTGGAAGAATAATTATATGAATCTAGGATCAAGTTTATGGTAATATATTCTGAGTAAATAGCTATGCACAGTTTCTGTTGAATGTGAAAGGAAACCATTAGAAATTTTTATAAAACTATTCAAAAGATGAAAAAGGAGGTACAAATTAGTTTTTCCCATTTTAAAATTAAGAAGTGATATGAGGTATGTTTATAATTTTACTAATTATTGCTTTAATTGTATAAAGGCATTTCTTTTGAAGAAACTCCTATTTTCTTCTGAGAAGTCTTCTTGGCGTGATTGTCCAGGTATGTCAGCTGTCTTTTAAAACTTTTATTCCATTCTCTATTTTAAAGATATTGTATGCAACATTCACTGGCAATAGTTAAATTAAAATTAATTATCTTAATAACTAAAGTATCAGTGGGATTTTTTCCTGAGATTTTCTTTTAAAATGTTTCGGAAAGATTAATGAAGAGTGACTGCAAATTTTAAAATATATATTTCCAAATTTTTGGTTTCCTAACTAAGAGATAAAAGACAGGATAATATAACTAAGGGAAAAACCTTTGGCCTCTTGCTATAACAAGGTACATTTCCCAGAACTGTTAGATGATAGCATATCATAAGAATAGTCCTTTTGTTTGTTTGTTTTTTTAATCTTACTTAGCTATGCGCAAGAACTTAGAATTATCTTTCTATTCCTGTATCTTTCAGTGCAGTGCCTTCTAATGGGCAAATCCTGCATATAATACTGGTTTGAACTGCAAATGAAGCTGTGGCTCCTGCTCTGATTAAGTCAGAGATATACAGTGCTACCTGATAATGAACAAACATTTGCATTCCACTTGACAGTTTATAAAGACTTTTTCTTCACTTACACAATTTTATGTGAACCTCATAATAACTTCTGGAGCAAGGTCGGATATATTGTAGTCTGTATACAAGGATATAGCAGTTTCCAATACAAACTATAACCGTAGAATCTACTAATGGTTGTGAATTTAAGAGTTAAGGTATCATTGTCATACATACTTTTTAAGTTAGTAGCTGAAATACAAAATAAATTTTAATAGAGAAGATCAAGACGTACTATTGTTAACATGAAAATTAATAAAATTTTAATAAAATTTGTAATATTACTTACACAGAAGCACATTCACTTTGATAAAACATCTATAAAGCATTGTCATAAATGCTATGGTGATTATCAAGTGAATGGCATAGCTCCTTCCTTTAAAGAACTTTTAGTCCATTAGGAGAGACAGAAACCTCCTTATATCATAAAATTTTATACAAAATTTGTATACATCTTATCTCCTTTATTTAAAAGTTTCAGAAAGTGGTATTACTTCTTGAGAATAATGGTGCTTGAAAAAGAGACTGTGACTAAGATTCAGAAAGAGAAGGTCTGAGTTCTTGTGCTATTTTCTATAAAATTCTAATGCTCAAATCCACATTATGCAGCATAACCACCATGGCTTCTGCTAATGTAATGAATTGTGGTAGTATATGTGCTGACGGTGTCTTCTTACCTCAGTGTTCTTATCCCTTTGGATGATCAAAGACAGACTACTTCAGAAGTGGGGGAAAAATAGAGATCGCAGTACTTTATACTTTATTTGAGTCTACAGTAAAGAAAACCTCATGGCTTAATTGCTACATTTGCAGTTCCAGAAAAGGATGATTAGTGTCAGATTATTCCTGTGTATTCAGGATTTTTTTCTAATGGATGGTCTTTTTAAAGTGGTGATATTTTAATCCACAAGCACATTGTTTTTCTAAAATATAATTTAAAATCTGTTTGGATTTCCCCTATTCTTAAAATGCTTGATTATCCTCATTAAATTAACACATTTTTAATATTGTTATTCATGACAGGTTTTTTTTTTTCAGAGGAAACCATTATAACTTATACTTTGGTTATTTTTAGAGGAAGAGCAGAAGGAACTCCTTTGTCATACCTTATGTGATATTTTAGAAAGTGCTTGTTGTGACAACTCTGGATCATACTGCTTGGTTTCATGGTTAAGAGGAAAGACAACTGAGGAAACTGCTAGTATTTCTGGGAGCCCTGCAGAGTCTAGTTGCCAAGTGGAACATTCTTGTAAGATACATTTTTATTTCCTGAAGTACTTTCTTGTACCTTTGTTTTAATGACACTTGAAAATTTTGAAGAAAAAAAATTTTTAATTTTCATAACAAATATTTTTCTAGCTTAAACTTAATTACTGAACTTTTATTTTTATTTCCTTTCCTATTATTGTAATTACTAGAAGATACATTTTTGCAAAAGGGAAAAATCCTCTTAAGTAAACCTTTTAAAATGTTCTAGTTAACTTCTGCTTGACAACAATCTCTTTTGAACTTTAGAACTCTTATTTAAAAAGTTTAAAGAACATATTTCTGTATATCTTAGTTTCAGATGTCATAATGTTTTGTTTTGGTATTGGAAAAAAAGATTTTTAACATCACAGAATTTCTTAAATGAATCTTTAAATGCTTCCTAGAGAAAAAATAGGGACATTTTTCTTCATTACAATCTATTTCTTTTCTGCCTGAACTTTTAGATATACGTATGTGTGCATGTGCGTGTGCGCATGTGCGCGCGCGCGCCGCGCACACACACACACACACACACACACACACACACACCCATACACAGATTATTTTAAGGTAGTTTTTATTATGAGCTTTAACTCTACTTTCTGTTTCATACCTTGATTGAAGATTTTTCTCTATAAAATAAGTTAAATAATAGCTGTCTCATTATCCATAAAAATGATATAATCTGTGGTCTTTATCATTTTAAAATTCTTATTTAACTAAAAACTGCAGCATGAACTAGTAAAATGGAGACTCCTGGTAATGGAAGCTAGATAAAAGAGTTGCTTTTCTAATTTGCTTTTCAGGCATAATCTTGCTAGTTGGTGTTCTTTGGTCATTGGCAGTCCCAAGTGCTTTTATTGAATAAGTGACTTTTTCTACCTGCATTGCATTCCTTTAACTATCATCTCTATGGAAATTGGTTTTAAAGAAATTGTGTACCTGATTCCTAGAAAGCACATTTTGATTCTTTGATACACAGTTTGCTTTCCATAGGATTATCTCTATGGTACTATTGCCTCCTTGGGCCGAAATGGTCCTTTGTTATCAGTGCTTTCCTTCTCCTACCTCTGAAGTTCAAATGTCTTAAACCTGGCAATTCTAATAGTAGTATGTTTGCAAGGAATGATTTTTAAAATTTAAATGACTGAATGATGTTTTCTTTTCAGGCTTTTCAGGCATAGCCTTACCGAAGGAATTTAACATATTTTAAAGTTATAATGGCATTTGAAGACAAGTGGAAAATATTTACAAGGATGATAGTAAAAAAAATGTCATTAAGATTAGTTTTAATTGGAAGGCTGAGGCGGAAGGATTGCTGGAGCCCAGCAGGTCGAGGCTGCGGTGGCCGGGAGTGGCCGCTGCACTCCAGTCTGGGTGACAGAGTGAGACTCCAACTCAAAAAAAAAAGATTAGTTTTAAAATATCTTCCAGGTTTTACTGTGTTACATGTAAGCACACCTAATACCTTTATTTAGGATTTTAAATTTTTGAGAGAGGAATAGTTTAATTATTTAAAATGTATTTTAAAGATTATGTGCCAGTCTGGGTATTAGTATGTGAGAAAATTGTAAGATGTTTTTGAATAACATTTTCACTAGTATATTAATGGTATACTGTGTCTTTGCTAAGGAATATGCCATACATTTCTGTAGTGTTAGTTTACATTGCTCTAGGTTAAATGGCCTCATAACACGTTAAGTTTGTACTTCAGTAACTAATTTAGAAGGGAGTATTACATTGAATGCCTCTACAAAAAGATGTTTTACTAATTTTATTTTGTATCTCATTTTAAAATTGGCATGAAATAAAACCTTACTTTAAATATTTTTATCATTGTATATATTTGAAACATTTTATTAACTGAAAATTTTAGAATATGCCTTATGAACAAATGAACTTAACATACATTAAATTTTTTATTCCATGTAACAATCTGTTTTACCTGTTCTTTCCTTTATTCCCAGCTATGTTCTTTTTCTTGTGTTTTATATTTTTCCACCATCCCTGCCTGCTAAGCTTTTTATTTTGCTTGCCTCTTTTCTCTAAATTATTATCTTTATGTCTACTTTCATAGTATACACAGAAAAAATATGGGAAAATCAAACATTATAGAACAGTTAGTGCAGTTTGGAAAAGATCAGGTAGAATATTTATTTTATCCTGAATTTTAAATGTAAACTGTTTTCTCCTCTTGTTATATTACATTTTGTACAAACATTAATTTCATTGGCTTATGTGGTGTGTATAGTTTTGGCTTGTTGGTAATGCACACTTGTTCGCAGTAGTAAATACTCAGGTTCAATTTCAGTTTGTTTCCCACATTAACCAAGACATATTTAAATTAATCCATTTGGACTTCTAAAGATTTTAAAAAGTAATTTGAAACTCTTGAAAATTAAAACTAGTCTGAAAAACTGGCATATGACATTTTAAATTGTGGATAAAAATTTAAATTGTGAATTCATAATTAATCTATTTCCTTAACTCACTAGTGAAACTTTGTATGTGAAAGTACTAAAATTTTTGCTTTATATAATATATGTGAAATTTTTCGCTGTGATAAATTAAGGTGGCCATTTTGATTCATGTGTGAGAGCTTTAAAGACTGTCTTCCTGGAGCCAAGACTATCTGGGTTTGGATCTCAGTTCTGTTTATTGCTACGGGCTCTTGGGAGGATTTTTCTCTGGACCTCACGTTCCACTTCTGTAAAATGGCGATAAGAAAGTTGTTATGAGGATTAAATGAGGTAAAACCTTGTTTAGAAAAAGGTCTGGCGCTTAATAAAGTGTTCAGTAAACATCATCTTTGATAAAATGCTTGCTTTTATTTCCTTTGATTTTTAAAAAAAATTATACTCGTATTATATAAACAAGCATAATCTAAATAAGTTACTGAAAACTTCTTAACAGTTATATAAATAAATGAGGAAACAAACTTAAAGTTGTTGTTGAACCTGTGTAGTTTCAAAGTGTTATGCCTTTTTATACACATTTGTTTAATAACTAAGCATTAAAACTAGAGATTTTATATTATATGGAGGAAGGTTAGCTATGATGCTTTTACTTGGATCTATAAACTGAAAGTTTATTTAAAAGTGCAGACACATTGTAATGATGTGTGGTGCACTGATATCAGTAATTTCTCATTTTTTATAAATTATTGTAGCAAAACCGAATCAAAAAGAAATGTTATTTAATCACCCTTCCACATTCTCAGTATTATATCTATTTTAGTTATAATTATGGTAACTAAGATGTTGAGATATAAATTCATGTTATACTAAAGTTGAAAATAAACTGAGAATTTTAAGGGAGTAAGAAAATAGGGAAAGTTTTGATTGCTTGAAAGTATTTACAGCCTGCTGTGTGTATCTTGTGTCATTTATTTGCCATGTGTAGTGCTGAAAAGTGTCTTTTATGTATAGCTGCCTTGGCTGTCGAAGAGCTTGGCTTTGAGCGATTTCATGCATTAATTCAGTAAGTAACATTGGAACATTTAAAATACTTACCTTGTGGACACATTGCCATTTTGAGTCTGTTCATACTATGAAAAGGTTCTTAGTTTTATATAGTACTGTGCTACTTAAACATAAATTTTAAATCTATTGTTTGAAGATTAATTTGCCTTCAAATTAAATAAGATTTGTAGATATATACTTGAATTATGCTGAGCCCTAAATTAACTATCCAAATATGTTTTTTTTTAAACATTAAAGGCTTTTTTATTGTTACAATTTAAAAAATCATTTTAGCTTAATGTTCCTGTGTCCTGAGTGAATGTAAAGATTTCTAGTGGGATAAATGTTGTAATTATTTCTTATTTGCCAAAATAGATTTTCTGTGATTTTTATTGCGTGCCCATATTTGCATTAGAGCATTTATACTTTTTATTAAAAAGGTAAAGTCAGTTATGGTGATAGACTTATAGGTGGTGTTTGGTTTGAAATTTTACATTAATTTCTTTTAAAAGAAGCCACAGATGTATAGCTTATCTTTGGTCTTCAGATATTTGTCAAGATTTTCCAGCTTTAAAAAAACAAAAATGAAGTTTACTTACAACCACTGTGTTCTTTAAATAACTGTAAATTTTCAAGACTATTTTGGTGTGAGACCATTCACCTAAGAGATGAAGAGTTTCCCTGCAAATTAGGCATTTATCTCAATGGTATACATTATAAATATTGAGAGTTGTTAGAAATAGTTTTTGCTTTTAGTGGCTAAATTTGTTTTTGAAAATTTGAGGAATGTCTAGAAATTTCATTTGTATGTATATGTTTTAATAATAGGACAATTTAAAAAATTTCCCATTTAAAAATGCAGTCAGTGTCATTATGATACCAATACTTTAATTATTTTTGTCCTCCAGAAAAAGATCATTCAGAAGCTTATCAGAATTAAAAGATGCTGTCTTGGACCAGTATTCAATGTGGGGAAACAAATTTGGAGTATTGCTTTTTCTGTATTCTGTGTTACTGACAAAGGTTTGTGTAAGAAGATACTTCTTCTGCCTTTTATTAACTTAGTTTTTTTACTTTTTTCCACACTGTGATGAGTAATTTTATTTCTGATGCTGTTTTTAAATCTCAAAATGAAAATCTTCTATGCTGATAATAACTAATTTCTGTTTTTTCAACACTCACTTGTTACTTAACCACTTTCAAGCTTACATTCACCTCTGCTCTTCTGGGTTGCAGAGGTTATCAGCAGTGTTCCAATTATGAAATGCTGTTGGTTCTTCTGAATTTTATTTCCTTTGATCGTAGTAATACCTGGCACCTGATCCCTTAGCCCCTTCTGAAGCTCTTTCGGACCACCACTTCTTTTCTTCTCTCTTGCTCTCTCTCTCGCTCTCTTTCGCTCTTTTTTTTTTTTGATAAATCACTTTGCTTGTTTTCTTTCTATAATGTCTCACAATTCTATTTTGTTTTGGTTTCTTTTCTTTGATAATTTTGTTTCTATCTTTACCTGTTATCTCTTACTTTTTTCTCTCCCCCTCTAAATTTTATATCACAGACATTTTATTCCCTGGGTTCTGTATGCTTTTTTGAAAATGGATGTTTTATTCCCTGGGTTTTGTATGCTTTTCTTTTATGAATATTTTATTATTTCAGCTTACCTTTATGTGGCTAATTCCAGCGTGTACGCTTCCAGTCCTACCTTTTTCCCGCAATGCCAACCTAAAATCTCTAGTAGCCTGTTAGTCTCAATTGAGTATTCCACTAGAGCTGACATGTCTGAAGTCAAACTTCTTTTCATTTGACAAACGTTTATTGAATATTAACTCAATGCTTTATAATATGGGATATATTTTTTAAATGGTTTGAATTTGGTGTTGTGAAAAATGACATGTTAATAATTACTTTCACTATGGCAGTGTTTTTTGGTGTTTTGTCTTCACATGTACATAGCATGGTGGAAAAACGGAAAAGGTATGCCTAAGTTTACTGGGTGGAATCAAGACAGATTTTATGTGCTAGGGACCATTTGCTAGAAGTAGGGCCTTGGTGCGTCAGTGGCCATTTTCTATGTGGAAAACTGTAGGAAAATTTCCAAGCAGTGGACACAGCAAGTATAAAAGCATAAGGGATTGGGGGAATGACACAGATTTTGAGGAGCTATAAGTAGTTCAGCATTATTGCAGCATAAGACACCAGAGGGGCAGTTGTGGAAGATGAGACTGGGCACTCTATAATGAAGGCTCCAAATATGAAACACCTTGTACACTGTGCAAAAAGTACTTTAGATTCCATCTGGTCAAAATTGGAACACAATAAAATTTTTGAACAAGGCAGCAATAAGATCTTTTTGTTGATAAGATGTCTTAAATTGGGATAATAGTTGTGACAGAAGGAGTCAGTATTAGAAGGATGAGTCAGGAAGACTTTCTAGTTTCCTGACTTTCTAGTGGGTATTGGAATAGGTGAAGCCTAAACTAGAGCGCAGTGGTCATGGACTGGAAAAGAAAGGAGCATATTGAGAAATACAAATAATAAGAGAAAGAAACCAAATATTTACTTGGCTTATTAAATATAAGGAAATAAGAAAAAAACAAAAGTACTTGGTAGTTGCATAGATGTTGGTATGGCAGTGATGATGGTATCCAAGATGACTAGTTTATTATGAGCTCTTCTTGGCTGTTCCTTATTCTCCAAGTTTTTGATGTTGAAAACTTTTGATTCCTCCTCTGTCTCTTTCTTGACAGCCAGTAAGTCATCATGCTGGTTCTTTCTTGAGCTGCTGTTTGAAATAATATTCCCATTATCCTAGTGATTGTGTCACTTGTTCATATTATTCATTTTTACTTTATTGTAGCTGCTTTGTATTATTCTAGGGATGACAAGTGCACTTTTTTGTTTCTCCCTACAATATTTAGACAATTGTTAAATATTTTGATTTTTTTTTTTTTTTGAGTTGGAGTCTCACTCTGTTGCCCAGGCTGGGGTGCAGTGGCATGCTCATGGCCACCGCAGCCTTAACCTGCTGGGTTCATGTGATCCTTCTGCCTCAGTCTTCCAAGTAACTGGATCTACAGACATGTGCTACCATGCCCGGCAAATTTTTTTATTTATTGCAAAGATGAGGTCTCACCAAGTTACCCAAGCTGTTCTCAAACCCCTGAGCTCAGGCAGTCCACTCGCCTCGGCCTCCCAAAATTCTGGGATTACAGGCTTGAGCCACCTTGCCTGACCAAATATTTTGATTGTTAATAAGTTATCTGTTTAATTCTTGGAAATGACCTCTAATGTGATAGAATGAATGGCTAAAATTAGGTGAATAGTACATAGAATAACATTTTATCTTTGTCATTTTGGAGTTCATGAGGTTAAAATATCTAGGTCTTCTTGTACTTATCCAGTATCTAGAACTTTTGGGACTTTGGGAGGATTAAAAAGTATCAGAAAACTGGTTTTGAGAAAATAAGCTCCTTGTCATCCTAATTTACATTTTATTTTGTCAGTACACATCTGAATTACCAGTATTTGTGAGAAAACGTGATCCAAAGCAAACCTTCTATTTTATGTACCAGTTATACCTTTTGTATATTTAAATATTTATTTCTGTCAACCCATAAGTTGATTAATGTTCTTTATATAGCATTTATAAAATAAAAGATACTTGAGGAGCTACTTTTTACAGTCGTTATCTCAAAGCACCCCACTTCAAATTGGGGTAAGTCTTTGGTAGAAAAGTTACTTAAGTCATTGTCTTTTATGAGTTTATAGTGCAAACTAGTTAGTTTTTAAATTGCCATAGTTTTATTTCAGTTTTTAAAATAAGCCAATGAATTCTCGGTTTCTTTAGGGCATTGAAAACATAAAAAATGAAATTGAAGATGCAAGCGAACCTTTGATAGATCCTGTATATGGACATGGCAGGTAATTAACTAAAATTTATTATTTCCTTATGTGGACTCTAGTTTTTAGGAACTTAACAAGATAAAACATGACCAAGTCAGGTAATTTTGCTTGCCAGTAGTGTTAACAACATAACTTCTATGAATTTGAGCAGTCTTGTGTTTTATGCATTGTTTACTTTGTGTGAAATGCTAGGGTTTATGCATTGTTTACTTTGTGTGAAATGCTAGCTTTTAGTTTAGGCTTACGTATGCATTGTATTTATTGTGGTAAATATTTTGTTTTAAAATTAACGGTGGATAGGTATTTTAACAATTTCTGCCATTTATGGTATTTTTTATTAAAATGAAATTTACTCACTTTGACTTAGAAATAAGTATAGTCTTACCCAAATGGGTAAATGCTTTTCTGCTTGGGAGAAAAGAAAGTTCCCAGTTTTCCTCTGGGACCACCCTCCCTCTCAAACTTTTTTAATAGCTATTGTTACCAAAATAAATAAAACAGTAATAGTTAACCTACTTATACATGAGTCCTTCTTTTCAGACCTTTCTGTATCAGAGTTGAAAATTCACAAATCTTTCAACAGAAATAAAATATTAATAATTATATATTTTTAAAGATAATTTTAAATAGTAAGTAAATTGTCAGTATAAGCTGTCATGTTTTCAACTATGTAAATATGATATCATAGATAAAGTTAAATTTGTATGAATATGTAGAACAATTGAAACCACTGTGGTGATACATTTTGCAAAGTTGATTATGTAAATAGAAAATGTAAGGTTTTCCCTAGTTTTGTTTCTTAAACAACATAATTTAATATAAGTAATTCCTTTATACCTTACCATAGGAACTACTCTTTGATTTTGAAACGTGTTTTATTCATGTTTAATTGCTTTTCAATTTTTATTAATAGCCAAAGTTTAATTAACCTCCTGCTGACAGGACATGCTGTTTCTAATGTATGGGATGGTGACAGAGAATGCTCAGGAATGAGTAAGTATGTTCTTAGCTGTGTTAATATTTCAGTAGAATACTGCAGGTTGTTGTTCTATTTAATGTCTCTATGAAACTTAGAAGTTAAGTGCTTTCTATTAGAAGAATTCTTTAGAGTTTCCAAGGCACTGTAATTTTAAGAACAGAGATTTTGGAGCCAGACAATCTTGGGTTCAAATCCCAAGTGTGTGACTTTAGTCAGGTTACTTCTGAAGGCTTTCATTTTCTGTGGCATAAAATTGGAGTTGTAGGACTAATTTCTTTAGGAAAAGTAATAAATAGATCTCTTAATATACTATGTAGACAATGCTTATTTATTCAGAGACAACACTGCATTCTTGCTTAAAACTGAAAATTACAAAATATCGTAATGTGAAATATTTGCTTTGAGTGTCAGGTGGTTTTTTTCTGTATTACTTTTAATGTGCATAACTTCCTTTAAATTGGTGGGTAAATTTAATGTTGTTTGAGACTTTTAAACTGGTTTCAGTTATTTCTGTATAACTTCATAGGTTGCCAGGGACATTGGAGTGAAACACATTTTACCCAATCCATTTAGTTAAAGAGAGCAGACAAATAGCTTTGAATAAAATTATCTTCAGTTTATTTACTGGGTCGGTCTAAATTCACTTCCTTATTCATTCAACTTAATATTGAATAACTCGCTTGTACCTTTTATTGACGTATGTAGTGTAGAACATAAAGCTCCATAGTTCCTATAGTTCACAGGCAAATTTATTCTATAATTTCCTCTAATTTAAATTAGAAAAAACTGTCACCAAATCACAGAATAAATATGGTTGAGAAAGTGATAGTTACCACTACTTGCTCCCATTTAAATGATGCTTGATCTTCCATTTGAATTTTTCTCACATGTAGAAGTTTGTATAGTTAATTAACAGAAACAATGAAAAATCAGCAAAAATTATGGAACTTCAGAATTAAAAAATACCATAGTATGACCCAACTTTCTCTTTACTGCTTTAGAAATTTAAGAACTAACCACTTCCTACATTAAGTAATGTTTTCACTTATTGGTGAGGTTAGAATGACAACCTAGTTTTGCTGATTTCTAATACAGGTCAAAGTTTGAACAGTGAAATTCATGCACACAAAATAATTATGCAGGTTACCTTGCTGTTTTCTGTAATTGATCTCCTATTCTTGAACCCTCATTCTGATTGACAGCTGAAAGCATTTAATCCTGCCTGTGAAAGATGCTCATCTCAGAATCTCTCCAGTGGTATGCAGGGTTTTTGGTATTTTTTGTTTGTTTGTTTGTTTGGTCTCTCTTGCTCTTACCTATGATGGAGCCTGCACACCCCTCTTTCTCCTTCTCCTTCACCTCTCTTTCTGGGCCCTGAGGTATTATATCATCTCAGATGATTAGGGAAGAAATACCTGGTTTTTGCTGAACTTGAGTTGAGGTGCCTCACTCCACTTGGCCTCTGTCCTTACCACTCTCTCCTGTGTACTATAACCATAACTGTTCCCACCTGGTCTTTTGTACATTATTCTGACACTTCCTACTAGTTATTGTGGTTCATCCTTCTACACATTCTGCAGATTCTTTCAAGCCTATCCTTCCCCCAAAACTAGAGCACTCCTCAGCAGCTACTTAGATATTTTTTTCACCCTGCCTCCCATAGGCTTCAAAGGCTCTTCTTGCCATGACGTTGTTACTTCCTTTACAGAATATATTAGTCAATTATCCAAGTTTTGGTTCTTGACATATAGCAATTTATTCTTTTCTGTTTCTTGAAATATTGCCTTTCAAGTCTGTTGTCTCTGTGGATTTTTTTTTTTTTTTTCTGTACAGTTTAAAAATCAAAGCTAAACAATGATTTTGAAATAACTGTCTTGGAAAAGAAAAGAAAATAGGGTATATTTCTTGTGTTTTCACTCACTTGATAGGAATGTTGACTAGAAGTTGAATCTGTGTTCACCAAACCTAAAATGAAAATCCATGTATTAATTCAGCATTGGTTGCACTTATTTTCTGCTCTGATAACATAATAGGAAGCATGTAATATAGAAAGGAAAATTACAAGTAAATAGTTACTAGTTTTAAAATTCTTAGGCAAGTCACTTCTCTTGGCTTTAGTTCCTTTCTTTATAAAATATGGAAGTAATACTTTTCTTAAAGAATTGTAAAGATTAAGATCAGATTTCTGAAATGCATGCACTGGCCCATAGGAAGAACTCAGTTTTCCCTCAAAAGCTTATGCACATGGTTTAGGGAATCAAGAGCATGTACACCTAAGCTGTGATCCAAGAGGACACGAAGCAGTGTTGAAGTAAAGCACTGTAGATGTTCAGAGGGAAGAGAAAACTTCCTGCTGTGTTTATGTTGGGGTAAGTAGAGAGACTTTAAGTAGGCGTGAACACTTTATGGGACCAGATGGAATGAGCAGAAGGGCATTTGGGGAAAAGTGCACGTTGTGTTTAAGAACAGGGAGGTAAAGTAGTCTGAACAAAGCAGTGGTTCTGAATTCTGACTGCACATTATCACTGGGGGAGCTTAAAAATACCTGAATGCCCTGATTCCAGCTGAGAACAATTAAATTAAGTTTAGGTGGTGGAGCCTGGGCATATAATTTAAAATTTCTCTTAGATGATTCTGATGTGCAGCCAGGTTTGAGAACCAGTGCATTAGAGCATTGGATTTGTGAAGGAGATGAGTAAAAGGAAAGATGATAAAGAGTTGAATAAGAACACGGAGGCTGTGAGAAGTTTGGCTTTAGTTGGCAAGCATTAGGAAGAGTCACTTAAGGCATTGAGCAGAGAAAGGACATACAAAACAAAGACTTACAAAACAAAGGCGTTAATTTGTCAGTTTGTAGGATGTGTTGGAGTGGAGTGCCAAATTGAAAGCAATAGCACAATAGCCTATACAGGTGAGAGGTAATGAGACGATGATAGACCTGGCAAAAGAAGAAGGAAGAATACAACTAGTATTTATGTACTTTGTGCTAGGCAGCATATTTGAATATGTACCTTTTTAACCTCAGTTATACAGTTAAGCAAACTGAAGCTCAGATAATGTAGTGTTTGCCCAAGTCAAACCACAGAGGCACAGACTAATTGGTCTTCTGACCACACCCAGGCCTGTGCTTGTTCCCCGCTGGCACACTGTCCTGCTGTGCTACTCTGCCTCTATGGAGAGCACAAGACAGTGGAGTCCAGGTTTCAGCAGCTACTTAGATATATGAGGGTAAGGTACAAGTAATTAGTGTGTTTTCCAGTAAAGCGTGTTGAATAAATTAGCATGAGAAACATTATGGCAAGTTGCTGAAAGGCCCTCTGTATGTTTTGATGGAAGAAAAAAAAAACACAATCTTTGCCTTCAGGTGTTTCATTTTCTTTAAAGAGCAGTTACAGCTATTGATGATTGATAAGAGTGCCCATTATGCAGGGGTGGCAAACATTTATTTAACAGTGCCTACCACTGTTCTTAAGTACTTGATAAATACCTTTTTTCCCCCATTTTCTCACTTCATTGTTCTAACTACCCTATGGTGATAATTTCCATTTTACAGAGGAGAAACAGGCACAGAGTGATTAAGTATCTTGCTTAATTTCATACAATTTAGTAAATAGCAGAACTGAAATTTGAACCACAGAAGTCTGATTTCACACAACCAGCATACTTAATGAATATGATATGCTCCTGCCTCTTAAACTACATTTCAGAGTCCTGAATGCTGTCATAAATATGTGAGATGGCATTTATCTCATTTAACTTTCACAGGAACCCTGAGGTGAGTATTTGCCCCATTTATAGAGAGGAAACTGAGATGAAGAATATAATCCAAAGATTCTTGTCCATGGTATAGAGTTAGTGAAGGAGCCATGCTGTATATCTCATTCAAGGAGAATGAGGGCTAAGAAAGTGCTGATTTTAGCAGTTAGCAAGGGTTTTGCTTTAGAACAATTGAGATAGATGCCAGACCATAGGAAGTAAATATTTTATCCACGTAGGCAGGGAAATTTTGATGGCGAAAGAATGGAAAGAGTCCCATGGTCTGGTCATAAGAAGGCCAAGAGATGGTATACATAGTTTTTGTTTTAAGCATTAGAAGTCATCTAAATTTTTTGTGGATCAGGGAAAAGGGCCACTTTCATAGAAAAGATAGTAAATGGGTGAACTTTGAGAAGATACACAGTTCTAAAACAGGAAAAAAGAATATATTGAGAAAAGGCCACTGGAAATTTTGAAGTCTGCTGAGAGTGAGTGGGCAGAGGTAAAGCCAGAACAGATAAAGAAAAGAAAGTGTTTGAATCACCGGCCTTAAGAAGGAGTAAAGGAGTTATGAGAGGAACTTGGCAATTGGCATTCAGCAGTGAGAGTTTAAATGAGGTTATGTAGGATTAATTTAGAGTAAATCCAACCAGTAAAGCTGATAGTTAGGTTTCTGTTTTAGCAATAATCACCATCCTGGCAGTGGGAAAGAAAACAAATTTTATATGTTACCCAGGAAAGGCCCAGAAGGTTCACTGAAAGATAAATGGGTTTCAATACTTGTTCTGTCATGTTTCAAACATGTATTTTTTTTTCTTGTCTGTTTTTTGCCTTGAGTTTACTTATGGTGAAGATTTATATTGTTTATATTTTTGGCTATTAGAAACAATGCTGTAGTAAGCATTTTTGTGTATCAGTCTTTCTGTACATATTTAAGCATTCCTAAAAGCAGAATATCAAAATATTCTAAAAGCAGTATATTAAAATGTTGTCATCTGTTACTTGTTAATTACTAATAGCTTTATTGAGATATAATTCACAGATCGTGCTTGTCACTCATTTAAAATGTACAATTCAGTGTCTTTTAGTATGTTCTCAGAGTTGTGCACCTGTCACCACAATTGATTTTAGGCTTTTTTTGTCACTTATTCAAGGAGAGTGACAAATTCAATTCCAAATTGGCAGTAACTCCTCATGCATCCTTCCACTCCAGTCTGGCAACTACTAGTCTCTGTAGATTTGCCTGTTCTGAACATTT